TTTTGAGACGGAGTTTCACTCTTGTTACCCAGGCTGGAGTGCAATGGCGCGATCTCGGCTCACCGCAACCTCTGCCTCCTGGGTTCAGGCAATTCTCCTGCCTCAGCCTCCTGAGTAGCTGGGATTACAGGCACGTGCCACCATGCCCAGCTAATTTTTTGTATTTTTTTTTTTTAGTAGAGACGGGGTTTCACCATGTTGACCAGGATGGTCTCGATCTCTTGACCTCGTGATCCACCCGCTTCGGCCTCCCACAGTGCTGGGATTACAGGCTTGAGCCACCGCGCCCGGCCAATCCTAAAATTTATATGGACTCTCAAGGGACCCTAAACAGCCATAACAATATTGAAAAAGAATAAAAGAGGAGGGCTCAGCAGGGCTCGGTGGCTCACACCTGTAATCCCAGCACTCTGGGAGGCCGAGGCAGGTGGATCACTTGTGGTCAGGAGTTCAAAACCAGTCTGGCCAACATGGTGAAACCCTGTCTCTACTAAAAATACAAAAATTAGCTGGGCATGGTGGCGCGTGCCTGTAATCCCAGCTAGTCAGGAGGCTGAGGCAGGAGAATTGCCTGAACACAGGAGGCGGAGGTTGTGGTGAGCTGAGATCGCGCCATTGCACTCCAGCCTGGGTAACAAGAGCGAAACTCCATCTCAAAAAAAAAAAAAAAAAAAAAAATATTAACCAGGTGTGGTGGTGGATGCCTATAATCCCAGCTACTCAAGAGGCTGAGGCAGCAGAATCGATTAAACCCTGGAGGCGGAAGTTAAAGTGAGCCGAGATCATGTCATTACACTCTATACTAGGTGACAGAGTGGGACTCTGTCTCAAAAAAAAGAAAAAAGAAATAAAAAAAAAAACACCTGTGGAAAACTAAATAAAGCATTGAACTGTAGAAAACACTGCAGAGGCCTCAAAAATAAGCCTCAGAAAAGAGTCAAACTCTGTAAAATATTTGAAGAGATTTATTCTGGGCCAAATATGAGTGACCATGGCCCGTGGCACAGCCCTCAGAAGATCCTGAGAACATGTGCCCAAGATGGTTCGGGTGACGCTTGGTTTTATACATTTTAGGGAGATGTGAGACATGAGTCAAATACATTTACGATATATATTACTCTGGGCCAGAAAGCTGGGACAACCTGTTGGGGAGGTGGGCGCTTCCAGGTTATAGGGCTACAGGTAGATTAAAAAATGTTCTGATTGGTAATTGGTTGGAAGAGTTATTAACAACACAAAGGAATGTTTTGGTTATGATTAAGAGATTGGGAAGACCAAAGTTTTATCCTGCAGGTAAAGTCTCCAGGTAGCAGGCTTCCAAAGAATAGATTGTAAATGTTTCTTTTTTCTTTTCTTTTCTTTTTTTTTTTTTTCAGATGGAGTTTCACTCTTGTTGCCCAGGTTGGAGTGCAATGGCACGATCTTGGCTCACCACAAACTCCACCTCCTGGGTTCAAGCAATTCTCCTGCTTCAGCCTCCCGAGTAGCTGGGATTATAGACATGTGCCACCACGCCTGGCTAATTTTCCATTCTTAGTACAGATGTGTTTCCCCATGTTTGTCAGACTGGTCTCAAACTCCCAACCTCAGGTGATCCACCTGCCTTGGCCTCCCAAAGTGCTGGGATCACAGGCACAGGCCGGTTTTCCCAAGGGACTTTTATTGGCCCTACAAGTCAAGTTGGATTCCTTGTAGGAAAGAACACGAATCCAGTCAAAGCCTTTGTAAAATAACCAGTTTTTTCAACTGTGCACTGTTACAAAGAAAATAGATTCTAATTGCACTTATGCAAATAACGATACTGCCATAAGTTAAGAATACTCACAACTAGTTTTCAAATTCTGGAGAAATCAGGTAAAGAGCAACAAATATGCTTCAAATTTTGTTCACAGAAGTATACTTTACTCAATTGTTAAAAAGCTGTAACTAGCTCAAAAGAAAAGTTTCCTTGTCTCTGAAAAACCATACAAAGGATCAGCAACATTTTAAGCAAAGTTAAAAAAAAAAAGATCACTTCAGACTTCTATTAGTTTATGCAGTTAACTCCTGTTATGTTTGATAGCTATGAACATTTCAGGTTTCCACGAGAGTTCTGAAAGTTTTCCTGTCTATTCTGATGTCATATTTTCCAAAGTTATCATAACCCTGCACTCAAGAACACCTGTTAGAGTTTTATAGTTGATTATAAACCATCTTTTAAAGAGAATTAAGACAATTTTTGTATTGACAAAACATCTTAGGACAGCCACAGTCAAAAATATGATTTGACTAAGAAATTTGGTTACTGTAAGAGTTATTGCCAAGTTTAAAATGAGGAAACTGAAGCCAGTGTAAGAAAATTAAATGCCATGTTTATTCAGCTCCCGGGTGAGGTTCTCTGGTCCCAGGGAAAGGGGGCCAGAGAAGCCGCACTGTCTTCCTGGGGCGTGGGTTTATATGGCTAGGAGGAACAAGCAACAGCTGGGTGCTCTGATTGGGTCCAGGGGAGCGGGATTGAGACGGGGCGGGCCACTATTGGTTGGTTGACGGGTTGTTGGGTGGGTTTTCTGGTGCAAGAGCCAGCCAGGGTTGCATTAGCCGGAGCCTTCCAAGGGAGCCATGCGGCAGAGCTAGGTGCCGAGTGTAGAGCCTGGTGCTGGGTGCAGAGGTGGGTGTGTCCGGCCTCCTGGCGAGGCAACCAGCCTTATAATTACCTCTGTGGCATACAATGATTTTATGTAACAGTTATAATTATTAATAACATATCTATGTCATATCACAATTATAGGAGATTTCAAAAATAATTTTGGAACACATACCAGTAACATTTATACAACTATGCCCAAAGAAAGCCAAACACCATTTCATATTTGATGATGCTCCCTGTATCACTTTTATACCAAATATGCCAAATGTCACACAGTTGCATTAGTGCATTACTGATGTCAAACCCAATTCTTTTTTTTTTTTTTTGAGACGGAGTTTCGCTCTTGTTACCCAGGCTGGAGTGCAATGGCGCCATCTCGGCTCACCGCAACCTCCGCCTCCTGGGTTCAGGCAATTCTCCTGCCTCAGCCTCCTGAGTAGCTGGGATTACAGGCACGCGCCACCATGCCCAGCTAATTTTTTGTATTTTTAGTAGAGACGGGGTTTCACCATGTTGACCAGGATGGTCTCGATCTCTTGACCTCGTGATCCACCCACCTCGGCCTCCCAAAGTGCTGGGATTACAGGCGTGAGCCACCGCGCCCGGCCCCAATTCGTAATAAAACCTTATTTAAGCTTTTTAACCTTGAAAAAATTCTTTATTTTTATAACTTTACTCATGTCTTTTTTTTTTTTTTTTAATTTTTCTGGTTCCTTTTACCTTGTTTTATACATAACTTTTAAATAAGTTTTTAATTAGGCAAATCTTGTTCAGCTTTTTTTTTTTTTTTTTTTAAAAGGACACACTTTTTTTTTAAAGCAAGACTGTTTTCCTACAAGATATATTTATTTTAAAACACCCAAATAATGAATTCTCTTTTATTTAATTTAATGTGACTTTATATTCTAAATTATGACCAGTTTGTCTGTATTTATCCCATTACATAATTATTTCATTTTAATTGTTTATCTAGATTATTTATGAAAACTCTGATAGTCATGATCTAAAGTTATGAAACCACTATTGCAAAATTACAACTGAGACAGTGAAAAATGATTTAACCTAACTGACTCCACCTTGCTCTTAACCTCCAAGCGGTCCTTGTCCTGGGCACAGGCCAAAGGAGCTTTGGGAGGAACCTAGTTTATAGTTTAGCTTTGAAACAATGACAACAGCCCTTTTCCAAAACAAACCACCTTCTTGTCTCTGGACTAACTGCCTAAGGCCATAGGATTAGAAGTTATGGTAATCTTACTAAATTCAAGGTGTGGCCATGTTCATGAAACCCATATCAATTTATTAAAAATTATACCAGCAAAGAGAATTCTGTTTTGGGCTGGGTTTGTAGTTTTATAATCCCTATGCCAAACGTTGACACTTTACGGCATTTGTCAGGGGTAAGTATAAAATTGCTTGATAAGGCAAGCAAAAAGTATGCCGGAAATTCCTAAGACATTTCTAGTGTTACTTTACCAATAATTTTAAAGCTAGTTTATTTATTAAAGATTTCACTTAAGTTACAGAAACTTGAAAAGCATTTGACTAATCTTTTCTAACTGATTTAAGCATGTTTATTTTTCTTTAAGCCAATTAGAGCTCTTTCATGTATTTTTAGTACTAAAATATTGTGTACACAACACATAGATACATATAAGGACATATTAGGCATGCCAAGAAAGTGCATTTATGTATAAAGCCCCTCCCCTTTTTTCCCTATCTTAGACTTCCAGATTCTTGATAACCTGTTTTACAACATTAGGCAGGTGTCAGCTAAATAGCCTTAAATTTGCACATTAAAGGAAACAACCCAGGTGAAAATCAAATAGCCAAATTTACATTATAAGGTTCAGAAAGAAAAAGTCTGGTGGTGGTAGAGGGGGATGCTTTTGTTTTTCTTTGAGCCAAATTAAACGTAAAATTAAACTACATTCTTCCTTAACCCAAGAGTAACCTCTGTTGCAATAACTGTGTTAGTCAGAAAATCTGGTGAAAACACAATTCAGTCAACTGAGAAGTAAAGGAAAAAAAAACTTGCTACAAAAAAAAAAAGACAAGGTCTTAGAAGAGAAAAACAAACAAAAAACAAAAACGTGCAGGCTTTTCAAACACAAACATGCGCACACACGTCTTGGATGTTAGAGCTTTAATTAAGCAGACTTTTCACCATTGAGCTCCTTAAAAAACTTTGTAAAAAATCTTATTACCGTATCTCAGCTAGGACAAAATGTTGCCATTTCAGCATTTGCTCTTTCAGCCACTGGTCTTTCAGTTTGGTCTGGCTCCAAAAGGTGGCCTTGTTATGCAAATAGAACCCCTATAGTAATTAAAATTAAAAATATTTTCTTTTTTTTTTTTTAAGCCGGCTGTTTTCCTCCCACTTCAGAGGTCTCGTTCCCCATAATTTAGGGTTCCCCTTTGGATTTGACCAAGACAGAAGCAAACAACAAAACAGTTAAGCAAAACTAACAAGGATCACACAAAGTATACAATTTCTGAGTGCTCTAAGTGTAAGCAGAAATGAACACCAGCTGGTTGTTAAATGCTAAATTTAGTCATTTAAAAAGAATTTGCAAGACAGAATCCCAAAACAGTTTCTTACCTAGTTTGGGTCTAGGGTCCGAAAGTGATGGGTCTCAGGCTGTAGACTGCCCTCCACCATCCTAGAAGCCGGAAGAAAAAAAAAAAAAAACCCACTGGAAGCGAGTTCAAACTCCATTAAAATCACCTGTCTTCCATCATCATGAAAGCAGGAAAACTTGCCTTCCTTGTTGGGAGCAAGTAAAACTCCAAAAAAAGAGGAGTCGCACAGCAAAATAAACTTTAGATCTCTACCAGATTTTAAGAAATCAGGGATTTTCTGGAGGGAATCCTCTCAGACTTCAACAAATTGTCCTATTGGTTTGAGCCATAAAGTTAGCTCATGCTGGCACCAAGCACTGATAGATTTGTCAAGGGTCAGGGGCATCTCCACTCAGAATCCATTCATGGTTTCCAAAATGCGATCCCAGAAAATACGAGACAGGTGTCAATTAATTTAGAAAGTTTATTTTGCCAAGGTTGAGGACACACCTGTGACACTGCGTCAGGAAGTCCTGATGACATGTGGCCAAGGTGGTCGGGGCATAGTTTGGTTTTATACATTTTAGGGAGACATAAGGCATCAATCAATATATGTAAGAAGTACATTGGTTGAGTTTGGAAAGGCGGGACAACTTGAAGTGATGATAAGAAGACTGGAAGCCAGGAAGGGAGCTTCTAGGTCACCTGCAGGTGAGATACATAGGGTGGCATTCTTTTGAGTTTCTGATTAGCCTTTCCAAAGGCGGCAATCACATATGTATCTGTCTCAGTGAGCAGGGGGATAACTTTGAATAGATTGGGAGGCAGGTTTGCCCTAAGCACTTTCCAGCTTGAATTTTCCTTATTCTGAAGCTCCAAGATATTTTCCTTTCTTTTTTTTTTTTTTTTTTTTTTTTTTTTTTTTGAGATGGAGTTTCACTCATGTTACCCAGGCTGGAGTGCAATGGCGCCATCTCGGCTCAGCGCAACCTCCACCTCCTGGGTTCAGGCAATTCTCCTGCCTCAGCCTCCTGAGTAGCTGGGATTACAGGCACGCACCACCATGCCCAGCTAATGTTTTGTATTTTTAGTAGAGACGGGGTTTCACCATGTTGACCAGGATGGTCTCGATCTCTTGACCTTGTGATCCACCCGCCTCGGCCTCCCAAAGTGCTGGGATTACAGGCGTGAGCCACCGCGCCCAGCAGATATTTTCCTTTCATAGTTGACATCCCCAACGTGATAGTGTTTGGGGCTCAGAAAAAGATACCCTAAAATAGGGTGCTTTGGCATGCCAGGTGCTTTGAATAAAGGAGACTGAAGGGCCTCAGAAATAAGAGAACCAAGGTGTCTCTGATCCACTCCTGTCCACTTCCCTTCCCTTCCAAAGCACAAGGGAGGGGCTTTCTTAGAAGTTCTCTTATTTGATTAAGGGAAGTTTCTCCAGAAGGAAGGCAATTGTCCCGGATACCCTTTACTAGAATCTATATCAATCAGAGAAGATTAACTCATATTGCAGAACAGGAAAATAATTAAAACTTGCTCAAAACACCATACCTAGATAGATTTTTTTTGCTTATTCTTTTTTTTTTTTTTTAAAGACGGGGTTTCACCATGTTGGTCAGGCTGGTCTTGAACTCCCAACCTCAGGTGATCTGCCCGCCTTGGCCTCTGAAGTGCTTGGATTACAGGTGTGAGCCACCACGCCCAGCCAGAATTTTTAAAAAAATTTATTTAGGGTACTTTAAGTGTGCTGTGTTTATAAAGCCTATGGTAATATACAGTAATGTCCCAGCCCTTCACATTCACTCACCACTCGCTGACTCTTCTGAAACAACTTTCAGCCCTGCAAGCTCCATTCATAGTAAGTGCCCTACACAGGAGAGCCAATTCTTATCTTTTGTGTCTTTCCTATTTCTGTTTACGTATGTTTAGATACACAAATACTTCCCTTTGTGTTGCAATTGCTTGCAGCATTCAGTAGTCACGTGCTGTCCAGGTGTGTAGCCTGGGAGCAATAGGCTCTCCCATATAGCCTAGGCGTGTAGTAGACTATGCCATCTAGGTGTGTATAAGTACACTCTGTGATAATCACACAACAATGCAATTGCCTGATGACAAATTTCTCAGAATGTAACCTCATCACCAAGAGATACATGACTGTAAGGCTGGGCGTGGTGGCTCACGCCTATAATCCAAGCACTTTGGAGGCCAAGGCGGGGGGATCACCTGAGGTTCAAGACCAGCCTGACCAACATGGTGAAACCCCGTCTTAAAAAAAAAAAGACACTTGGCGAGTGACATAACCCCCCTGGCTTAGTCATCTTTGGTGGCTATCATAAAATAGTAACAAACTCCTATTGGGTTGCTTACACCACGAAATGTATTGTTTCACAGTTCTAGAGGCTGGAAGCCCCAGATTGCACTGCTGACTCATTTACTTCCTGGTGAGGGCTCTCTTCTTCTGCCTTGCAGACTGCCGCCTTCTTGCTGTGTCCTCAGATGGCCTTTCTTCAGCGCGGCTGTGCAGTAGGGGTGGGGAAGCCCTCTTGTATGTCCTCCTCCTCTTATAAGGAGGTCAATTCCATTGCATTAGGACCTCACCCTGATGGCCTCATTCAACCCTAATTACCTCCCAAAGGCTCCATCTCTAAATACAGCCACATTTTGGTTTAGAACTTCAACATACGAATTAGAAGGAGAAGACAAGTTAGTTCCTAACTCCCCCTGTGGTTCAGTGTCTTTGTTAAAACTGGGAAGACTTGGCTGGGCACAGTGGCTCACGCCTATAATCCCAGCACTTTGGGAGGCCAAGGTGGGTGGATCACTTAAGGTCAGGAATTCAAGACCAATGGGGCCAACATGGTGAAACCCTGTCTCTACTAAAAATGCAAAAAAAAAAAAAAAAAAAAAAAAAAAAGCAGGGCATGGTGGTGTGTGCCTGTAATCCCTGCTACTTGGGAGGCTGAGGCAAGAGAACTGCTTGCACTCAGGAGGCAGAGGCCGCAGTGAGCCGAGATTACGCCACTGCACTCCAGCCTGGGTGACAGAGACCCTGTCTCAAAGCAACCAAACAAACACACTGGGAAGACCCTTTTGCCAGCACATGGGCCTTAAGAAGTGTTGAGGGAGAAACAGAAGGCATGCCCACGTGTGTCCAGGACAGGCACCCTCATCTCCAAGATGTACTTGATATTATTTGGACCTCCAAGGCCATGGTATCCCCATGTCCTGAGAAGCATTCATGTAAACATGACATACACACAGACACACACACAGACACACACATATCCACACATGCTCCCTTAACCCCTTCCAGTAAGCCTTGGTTTTACAGGTCCCCATTAAAGCCTTCCCCACCCCTCTGGCCCTTTACCTCACTTTCTGCTGCAAGTTCTGGTAGCACTGGGTGAGTTCTGTGAGGTCCCTCTCCAGCTCCGAGGCCTTGGCTCTCAACTCTTCCGCGAACTTTGTCCTGGCTCCTTCCTTCAGGTGCTTCCATTCTTTTGAGAAAGCGGCCAAGTCAAAGCCAAGGGAGAAGGCGGCTACCGTACCTCTCAGCATGCGAGCACTTTTGGTCATTGCCAGCGTTGTCCCTGCAAAGACCTTTTGCGCCTGTTCGGTGCTCCGGGAAAAGGCTCTGCCAGTGGTCAGAAGACGCTTGGCGGCATTGGCCAAGCGTGGGTTGGCTCTGACTTTCTGAAATGCACGGACGTTTTTTCTGGTGTTCCTCACGGTGTTGACAACATTAGCGATAATCTTTACAGTGGCCCTGACATAGTCTGTCCTCTCTTCCTCAGCTTCCCTGTCCTCCTGGTCATGGGTGGGCAGTATGTCTTCAGCCTGAGCTTGGGCTTTCTGATTTTGGGAGTGCTCCAGCTTATCGCTCACAATGCTGGTGACCATAGCTGCTGCCCCCAAACCTTGACCAGCGGTGGAGAGTAGCAGGCTTCCTCCTCCTGTCACTGGGGCAAGGGCTAAACCCAGGAGGCTCACCACCCCAGAGACGACAGCAGTGGAGTTGGCCACCAACTTAGTCTTGGTGAATTTCTTGTGGGTTTTGTCAATATCCTCTGCGAGGGCACGGAGCTGATCAATGCTCCCTTTTAGATCTTCTCTCATTCTGGGAAATTCTCTCAAAAATATTTTTTCTTCGGGGGACAGATCATCTTGTAGCTCCACGTCTTCACACAGAAAAGTGTCATCCTGGTCCCTGAGGAAAAGTGAAATAAAGATTTTGCATCAGCTTTCCAGCTGGGAAAATCCATGTGGCTCTTGGATATTCTCGCCACTCTTGACTTCGAATCCTCAAAAATCCCCTGAAAAGTCTCAGAGCGTCGTAGAGGAGTTCAATCTTTGCTGAAAGCTACTGGTTCCATGGAGGAAAGAAACACATAAGAGGGGCATGTGGAGGGACAAATGTGAGTCACCCCAGCCTTGGCCAAGGAATGGGGAAGGCAGATTAGTCCTGAGGCATGTTTTCAGCCTTGTTCACAGAAAGCACGGCACTGCCGCAGAGGAGGGGCAGTAAGGAAATGTTAAAACCCTACTCAAGATAAGAAACTTGGGAACGCGGGGTGCGGTGGCTCACTTCTGTCATCCCAGCACTTTGGGAGGCTGAGGGGGGTGGATCATGAGGTCAAGAGATTGAGACCATCCTGGTCAACATGGTGAAACCCTGTCTGTACTAAAAATACAAAAATTAGCCGGGTGTGGTGGCACGCACCTGTAGTCCCAGCCACTTGGGAGGCTGAGGCAAGAGAATTGCTTGAACTCAGGAGGCAGAGGTTGCAGTGAGCCAAGATTGCGCCACTGCGCTACAGCCTGGCACCTGGCGAAGGAGCAAGACTCTGTCTCAAAAAAAAAAAAAAAAAAAGAAAGAAAGAAAGAAAAAGAAACTTGGGAACAACGGCCGGAGAAACCTGGGAAAGTAGGAGAAAGAGAAGACAAGGTGGTGGGCAGGGGATGAGAGTCCCAGATGTGTAGAAGTGAGTAGGAGACTGGAGGGGGCCATATCGCGTCATGCATCCTCCACTCTGATGACCTTGAATTTGGCTACCATGGGGTGTACCTTGGCTTCCACCAGAAGCTGCACATTGAGAGTTGAGATAAATTATTATTCATGTCCTGAATGCTCCATTGCTCTTGGTCAGCTTTACTTGACCCTGCAAGCAGATGGGATTGGTCCTTCATGGAAGAAGTTTGGGACAAAGAGACCCAGGCCCCTCTTCCTCCAACATTTCACAGGACGAAGTAGGAAGGGACCTTTGCCAGCCCAGCTGGCTTTGACCTTCAAGGGAGAGCTGCATCAGGGTGAGAGCAAAGCCTACCACTTGGGGCATTTTCTAATGCAAGGTGCCGTTTGTGCATTTCCTTCAGGACGAGCCCAGGGGGCCTGGTGATCACAGATGCCCTGGCCCAAAGGAGAACATCAGAACTGGAGGGAGCCCTGGAGAGGATCTGGGCCATCTCCTTTACGATTCAGTAGGGTCTTCAAGCCCAGGGAGAAAAGACGACGCTCCAAAGGAACACGCTAGGCAAAGATGAAGCTTTGTGTGGGCTCTGAGACCTAAACTCGGTGCTCTCTGCCCTTCCATTCACTTGCCAGTTGATGTCAAGGCTTCCTCATTGACATATATGTCTGTCCATACATGTATTTATCTTTTAAATCTCTGTCTCCACACCCACACACACAATTCCTCAATGGGAAAGATTAGAAACAAAATATACCATTGAGCATATGTTTTAAGTATTAATGAATTAATAAATTTGGGCCCAGTTATCCATTAACCCACAGATGTGAATCAGTTAACAGCGCAGAAGGTCACCAGGGCTTGCAGCGGGGAAGGGGTGGGATGAAGGCAAGGGGGGTGGCCCTGACGAAGAACCCTAGACTTAAAAGATGCCATAGTTCAGCCAACAGATATGCAGCTGCCAAGATCAACACCACTGTGTATTAACTGTAAAGTTTTGGTTTTAGCGACTTTGTGTGTTTTTTTTGTTTGTTTTTTGTTTTTTTAAAGATGGGGTTTCACCACAATGGTCAGGTTGAACTACTGACCTCAGGTGATCCACCCACCTAGGCCTCCCAAAGTGCTAGGAATACAGGCGTGAGCCACCACACCCGGCCAGTGTTTTCTTAATTAAACCAGGCATCTCACATGTGGCCATCTCTGCCCCAGTACGTCCTGTATCCTCTGGTGATGCCTACTGGCACTGGATAACACGGAGTCCAGTTCCATGAGATACTACACACAGAGCTCCCTGAGTTCACTCAGCAAATATTTGTTACTTGCACACGTTCTGCAGGTGGCTGGCGGTGCCACCTCTGCTGATTTACAGATAATTGGGCTTAAATTCATCAACTTGTTAACACCAAAGGACTTCCTCCCTTGGTGGTATATGAGCTGAAGAAGTGGAGTTCCTGCCTCCAAGAGATTTACAGAGATGAGGCCCCAGAGTGGAGCAATTTCTGTCCTTGGAGTCCTACTGCTCAACGCAGGGTGCCGGGCTCCATCTTGACTTGCTCTCAAAAATATTTACTGTAGCTCCGTGAAGTATTTTTTCCCTAGGGGAACATATTTTCTTTTCTTTTTTCTTTTTTTTTGAGACGGAGTTTCGCTCTTGTTACCCAGGCTGGAGTGCAATGGCGCGATCTCGGCTCACCGCAACCTCCGCCTTTTGGGTTCAGGCAATTCTCCTGCCTCGGCCTCCTGAGTAGCTGGGATTACAGGCACGTACCACCATGCCCAGCTAATTTTTTGTATTTTTAGTAGAGACGGGGTTTCACCATGTTGACCAGGATGGTCTCGATCTCTTGACCTCGTGATCCACCTGCCTCAGCCTCCCAAAGTGCTGGGATTACAGGCGTGAGCCACCGCGCCCGGCCCGGGAACATATTTTCATATGCATAATGGAGACCAGTGGGAAGATAAGGCCCACTTCATAGCTAATGCTATCAGAGCATGTGTTCCTTGCCGTGAGGATGCCGGCAGTGTTTCAACAGAACCAGCCCTCTCCCTGGGGACCACGCTCTTTGGGTTACCTTTGCAAACCAATACCAGCCTCGTATTCTTGCTCTGCCTGGTTGTCCAGCAGCCTCTGTGGCACCAAATCTGTGTCCTCGGGAGTCAAATGATTTTCTGGACAGGAATGCGGAAAACAACATTACTGCACATACGATGAAACCTTATGAAATTCAGGTGTGGAGGGACTTTGGATTATACAGCATCAAAATAGCAACCACATAGCACGCTAGATATTTGCAAATGATTATTTTAAATTGTATGTTGAGGTGTAGCTTACATATAATAAATGCATGCAGTGAAATACTCAGTTCAATACGTTTTGACATCTATATTGGAGGATAGCAGCATACACACCCCAAAATATGCCACCTTGGCATAAGGATTATTTTGAGCCAAAAGCAATTGAGAATAAGTGGGTACAAGAAAAGTTCCCCACCCTCTCCCTATTTGCATAAACGCAGGACATAAATTTACAAAAGTGTCCCTTATCTCACTACCAGGAAGGATAGCTTCATTGCTAAAGATGACATTGATTTGTCTTCCCACAAGTCGTTACCCCTGGAGACTCGAAATCCTTTTCCATTGTCTTGCTACTTCTCTAAAAATTTACTCTTTATTGTTGAAGGTGTATTGAAGCTGGAATTCAAAGCTACCCCTCTGGGAATTATTTAATTCCTGGACCTCTCCCATGTACATACGAAATAGACATGTTAATAAACATCTGCTTGGTTTTGTCTTTTAATCTGTCTTGGGTTACAGGAGTCTATTCCAGCTAAGAACTTATGAGCATTGAGAAAAAAATTACTTTTCCTCCCATGCGTAGCCAAGGGCTGGTAACAACCTAAATACGTCAATCAATAGAAGAATAAATAAACAAATTATAGCATAGTTATATAGTTAAATACTATACAGCAATAACAATTTTTTAAATGACTGATACCCAAACAACATGGAATAATTTCACAGACATTATTATTGATTAAAATAAATCAAACAAATGGTTCCATTTATATAAAGTTCAATAATACGCAAATGAATTGGTTATAGAAATCAGAATCGTGGTTTCCCTTGGGTGGGATGATTATTGTCTGGGAGGAAGAAGAACAAAGAAATCTCCTGTTCTCTATCTTGACCTGGGTGAGTGATTCCTTGGATGGATATTGTAAGAGAGGAAAAAATAATTATCCCTCTACCCTTCTAAGTTCTCAGCTAGGGCTCCTGCAACCCAAGGCAGATTAATAAGAGAAAAACAGAAGTCAATAAATATGTACCTCTCAGGTGTATGTGGCAGACACCTAGAAAATAAGTAATTCTCAAAGAAGTGGCTTAGAACTCCCTGCCTGTATAGGCACCTTCAACAAAGAACAATACAATTTTAGAGAAGCGACAAGACGAAGAAAAAGGACTTTGCATCTTGAGGGGCACCAAACTGTGGGAAGACGAATAAATGGGAAATGAATGATGGAAAGAGACTGGTCGAATTTTCTTTCCAGTCTATCATTAATGGGCATTTGGGTTGGTTCCAAGTCTTTGCTATTGTAAACAGTGCCTCAGTGAACATACATGTGCTGTGTCTTTGTAATAGAATGATTTATAATCCTTTGGGTATATACCCAGTAATGGGGTTGCTGGGTCAAATGGTATTTCTATTTCTAGATCCTTGAGGAATCGCCACACTGTCTTCCACACTGATCTGCACGTGTACCCCAGAACTTAAAGTATAATAATAAAAGAAAAAGAGACTAGTCAGTAAAGTTTGTTGTGCAGCGTCCTCTGGCCCATAAGGGTCTAAAGTTGTTCTCAGTGGTCAACCTTTATTCTCCTAAACAGAAAGACCTTTGTAAATTTAGATTCTGCCTTTAGGCAAAAGAGAGAGGACAGAGAGCCTTCCTGCATCTCTGTTTCTTCTTCATTGCCTTCACCTCAAGAATCCCCATGCCAAAAAGGCATATCTGGGGGTAGCGTATTCTGTTTTCTCTCAGCAGTTATGAACACATGGACTACAATGATTAAATGATCATTTTCACCATACAGAACAGTAATTTACAAGGCCCCTTTGTACAAATTATATTCCCAAGAACATAATATATGTGATACTGTGATTTACAAGTATAATTATATATGTGTGTGTGTGTGTGTGTGCGCGCGTGTGTGTGTGTGTGCGCGTGCGTGTGTGTGTGGGGGGTTCTCATCCCCATTTCTGGCACAGGGCCCCTAAAAACCTTGGAATTTCCTGAGTGATGAGAGCAATCAAAGGGAAAAGAGCATCTGTTGTTAACCATTTTAGCCACACCCAAGCTTGTGTTAATGAGATGACTTCAGAAAGCCTCCAAATATGGGGGGACTGGTTGTCTGGGGAACCAACCATGTGATTTGAGGGTTGGAACCTTCAGCTCTACCCCTTGAGTTCCAGGAGAGGAGAGAGACTGGAGATCGAGTTAACCACCAACGGCCAATAGTTACTTTAATCAATCATGCCTGCGTAATGAAGCCTCCATAGAAACCCAGAAGAACAGGGTTCAGAGAGCTTCTGGGTTGATGAACACATGGAGGTACCTGGAGGGTGGTGTGCCCAGAGAGGACATGGAAGCTCCATGCCCCTTCCCTCATATCTTGTCCTGTGGATCAATTCCATCTGGCCATTCTTGGGTTGTATCGTTTATAATACACTGGTCATTGCAAATAAATGTTTCCCTGAGTTTTGCAAGCTGTTCTAGTAAATTGTTGAAACTGAGAAGGGGTTCGTGGGAATCTTCCATTTATCACCAAGTTGAACAAGAGTTGTCGGTAACTTGGGGACCCATCACTTACAATTGGTGTCTGAAGTAGAGGCAGTCGGCCGGGCATGGTGGCTCATGCCTGTAATCCAAGCACTTTGGAGGCCAAGGCGGGCGGATCACCTGAGGTTGGGAGTTCAAGACCAGCCTGACCAACATGGTGAAACCCCGTCTTAAAAAAAAAAAATGAAGTAGAGGCAGTCTTATGGGACTGAGCCTTTAACCTGTGGGATCTAAATGGTATCTCCAAGGAGATCATGTCAGAATTGAGTTAAACTGTAGGACGCCAAGTTTGTTCTTATCAAGAAGCGGAGAACTGGTTGGTGTGGGGGAAAAGCCTCACACGTTTTGGTGGCCAGAAGACGTAAATTGGTGTGAGTGTTGAGAGGAATAGTAGAGTTCAGTCTCCTCTCTTCGCCTCACTCACACACACTTTCCTGCCCTTCTGCCTTCTGCCATGGGATGACGCAGCAAGAAGGCCCTTGCCAGATGCCGGCACCCTGATATCGAACTTTCCAGCCTCCAGAACTGTGTGAAATAAATATCTTTTATTTATAAATTCCCCAGTTTGTGCTATTCTGTTATAACAGCACAAAACAGACTAAGATAGAATAAAAGAGTCCCCCAGTCCCTCCATCTACAAGGATTTTAGGAGCTCTGTGTCAGGAACTGGGGCCAGGGACCAGTTTATGTATATAGAGTTTTAAATATATATGTAATTTGTATTATTTATTATTTTTATTATTTCACGAATCTCAAGAGAGGAAGCAGGGAGACCAGTTGGGACGCTATTACAGTAACTGCAGCAAGAGGCGATGACACTTGGACCAGGTTGGTAGGGGTGATGACAGCAGCTAGAGTTGCAAGAATCCACAAGTTTTACCAGCACATGTGAGAGGTGAGGGAGTAGATTCGAGGATGACATCATGTTTGGGGCCTTAAACAACTGTTACAATGAAGATCCCATTTACTGCGGTGGAAAGGGTTGAAGGTTTTTTTTGGCAGGATGTGTGTTTGTGACAGAGTTCAGCGGGGAGTGGGTTACGTTTGAGAAACCTGTTAGGCATCCCTTGCCTGCCCAGTGATAGGATGTTGAGTCTTCTTCTGGCTGACGGTCAAACTTGGGAGCTGTTGGTGCAGAAAGTAGTTGAAGTCATGACTTGGATGAGAAACCCAGGGAAAGAGTAATGATAAGCAGAGACAGGGCAGCCCAAGGACTGGGCCCCGGGCACTCCGACAGCGGGAGCTGTGCGAAGAGAGGAGGAAGAACAAGAGGCAGGACACACGAGCAGCTGGTGACGCACCCAGAGAACTAACAGAGAATGGCATTTGGGAATCCAGGGTGAAACATTTGAATGTGATTGACAGTCTTCGTGTCTCCTTGTATTTTTCAACATTCTGAATCTTGCTTTCCATCTTTATCTTACAAAGATTCTGCTTAACTGCCAGTGACAATGGCTGGAATGGAAGAAAACATACCTTGGTCTGGAGATGTCTCTGCTTCTGTGGTATTCAAAAGCATGTCTCTGATCCTCCTCATGTTCAGAATGGCAGGTGTTCTGGCTGGGAAGAGACGCTGTACCACCTTTCTAGGGGAGAAAACAGGCCTTCTCATGAGTATGGAGATAGTAAGGGAAGGTCGATCCAAAGCCCCTTTCTATCACTTACCTGACCCGGGATCTCAAGGCGTTTAAGACACCATTGTACGTTTCCCTTCTCAGATAAGAGAAATAGTTTGAGATAATGAGAAATAACCTACAGATAAGTAAAATAGCTAGTAAAATGCCTAGCTCAATAAATGTTCAGGACCAACTAGTTTCTGCATTTTTCATAATTATAGATAGGGTAAAAATACGGTCTTACAAGGAAAGGACACTCATATTGGCTCAGAAAGCAAACCCCAAGTACATTGGGTGTTGCTTTGAGATACATCTGAAACAGTGACTCAGAAAAAGGTGGAACTAAAAGGCTGGGCAAAATCATACAGGCAAGGGAAGTGGCTGTGGCTGTAAGAGGGCCCCGTGTGACGGAACTGTTCTGTATCTTGGTTGATGATAGTCACACACATCCACATGTGAGAATATTGCAGGAAACTAAACTTGGGGAAAACTCAATAATAGGTCTATGGGATCTCTCTGTATTATTTATTATAACTGCAGGTAAATCTATACTTATTTTAAAATAGAAACTTTTTAAACAAGTGGCAGGCAGGCTAGGCGCGGTGGCTCACGCCTGTAATCCCAGTACTTTGGGAGGCCAAGGCAGGGGGATCACGAGGTCAGGAGATCAAGACCATCCTGGCCAACATGGTGAAACCCCGTCTCTACTAAAAATACAAAGAAATTAGCTGGATGTGGCGGCACGAGCTTGTAATCCCAGCTACTCGGGAGGCTGAGGCAGGAGAATTGCGTGAACCCAGGAGGCAGAGACTGCAGTGAGCCGAGAGAGCGACACTGCACTCCAGCCTGGGCGACAGAGCGAGACTCTGTCTCAAAAAAAAAAAAAAAAAAAAAAAAGTGGCAGGCAAATATAAAAAATCAGTACTGCAACATTATTAATAGAAAAAAAAATAACTGAAAACCACCTAGATTTCCACTTAAAGTGGACTGGTTAAATAAACTATGGTTTACCAAACACTGCTATCTTATGCAGCCTTTAAATCAAAGGAGGCAAATCCACATGAACAGACGTGGAAGGGTCTCCCATATGCATTGGCAAATTAAAAGGCTGGGTCCATTTGTACCCATCAAAGATATACATGACTGTATAGGCAAGCATCTAGGCCAGGTGCGAGGCTTTATGCCTTTTATTCTTTTTATTGAGACAGAGTCTTGCTCTATCGCCCAGGTTGGAATGCAGTGGTACGATCTCAGCTCACTGTAACCTCTGCTCCCGAGTTCAAGCAATTCTCCTGCCTCAGCCTCCCTGGTAGCTGGGATTACAGGCACCTGCCACCACACATGGCTATTTTTTTTGTATTTTTAGTAGAGAAGGGGTTTCACCATGCTGGCCAGGCTGGTTTCGAACTCCTGACCTCAAGTGATCTGCCCACCTCGGCCTCCCAAAGTGTTAGGATTACAGGCGTGAGCCACCATGCCCATCTAGTTTATGCCTTTAATCCCAGCACTTTGGGAGGCTGAGGTGGGAGGAAAGTAGCCAAATGCGGCGGTTTGCATCTGTAATCCCAGCTACTCGGGAGGCTGAGGCAGGAGGATCACTTGAGCTCAGAAGTTGGAGACCAGCCTGGCCAACATGGTGAAACCCTGTCTCTACTAAAAATACAAAAAAAGTTGGGTAACACGGTGAGAACTTGTCCCCTTCCACAGAAAAAAGAAAAAAATCTAATGGCAGTGATCAGTGACAATGGTAAGGGTCAGGAATCGGTGGAAGCTTGCTTTTCTCTGTGCCCCTTCATACTTTTTGTGTCAATATTTTTTGCCATGTGGCTATCTGTGATACCTTAAACAATTAAAACACCAGATTCGAATAGTGTGCCTCCACCCCGCTCCGCCAAATTCCTGTCTACTTAGAACCTTAGAATGTGACTTTTTTTGGAAATAGGGTCTTTTAGTTAAAATCAGTGAAGGATCTCTGGGTGAAATTCTCTTGGATTTAGGGTGGACCCGAAACCCAATCACTGGTGTCTTTATAAGAAGAGGAGGTGACAGAGACAGCAAAGGAGGCTGTGCGCAGACAGAGGCGGAGATGAGAGTCATCATTGCTGATATGTGGAGAGGCCACTGGAGGCTGCGGAACGCAGAGGGGGCCTCCCTGAGCCTGCAGTGGAAGCGTGCCCTGCTGGCACTGTGATTTCTGACTTCCAGCCTCCAGAACCATGAGACACTAAATGTCTGTGGTTTGCTGTTTGAGGCCACCTGGGTTGTGGTGCTTTCTGGCCGCAGCCCTGGGGAAGCCAATATATTCCTTCATATTGCATCTCTTCCCTACATTTGGTGCTTGGCCCAGCACTTACGGCCGAAATGCTCTTTCCTAGATATGGCTTCTCCCTCAGCTTATCCTCCCTTCCCTCATCCTCTCCCCTTCTACTTTTTGTTTTGTTTTTTTGTTTGTTTGTTTTTTGACAGAGTTTTGCTCTTGTTGCTCAGGCTGGAGTACAATGGCACGATCTCGGCTCATGCAACCTCTGCCTCCCGTGTTCAAGCAATTCTCCTGCCTCAGCCTCCTGAATAGCTGAGATTACAGATGTGTGCCACCATGCCCAGTTAATTTTTTTGTATTATTAGTAGAGACGGGATTTCACCATGTTGGCCAGGCTAGTCTCGAACTCCTGACCTCAGGTGATCCACCTGCCCTGGCCTCCCAAAGTGCTGGGATTATAGGCATGAGCCACCACACCAGGCCTCCCTTTCCACTTCTAAAAAGTTAGAAAAAAATCCTCCCTTACATACTCTGAAGGGACACAATTCTTTTTTTTGAGATGGAGTTTCACTCTTGTTACCCAGGCTGGAGCGCAATGGCGCGATCTCGGCTCACCGCAACCTCCGCCTCCTGGGTTCAGGCAATGCTCCTGCCTCAACCTCCTGAGTAGCTGGGATTACAGGCACACGCCACCATGCCAAGCTAATGTTTTGTATTTTTAGTAGAGACGGGCTTTCACCATGTTGACCAGGATGGTCTCAATCTCTTGACCTTGTGATCCACCCGCCTCGGCCTCCCAAAGTGCTGGGATTACAGGCTTGAGCCACCGTGCCCAGCAATTCTTTTTTTTTTTTTAATTATTTTTTGAGATGGAGTTTCACTCTTTTCTCTGAGGCTGAAGTGCAATGGTGAAATCTCGGCTCATTGCAACCTCTGCCTCCCGAGTTCAAGCAATTCTCCTGCCTCAGCCTCCCAAGTACTTGGGATTACAGGCACATGCTAACACAACCAGCTAATTTTTGTATTTTTAGTAGAGATGGGGTTTTATGAACCATGTTGGCCAGGCTGGTCTTGAACTCCTGACCTCAGGTGATCCACCCGCCTTGGCCTCCCACAGTGCTGGGATTATAGGCATGAGCCACCACACCCAGCCTGGGACACAAATTCTTATAGCCTTTCGTTTTCTAATTGTTTAAATGAATACAAGTTTACGGTAGAAAATTTATAAATAAATTATAAAATCCACCTGTACGCTTACCACACAGAAATAACAACTAGTGACATTTTATTTTACAAACAAAAAAATTTAGATACATGCTGTTCATGTAGTTTGTGTGAATTCTTGTCACTTAACATTGTATAATAGTAGTTCCCCAGGCGATATTTAGAGGCTGTGTCGCATTTCATCATATGAATGTATTGCTACACATTTAGTAACTGTCTCACTATTGAATCTTTGGGCTTTTAGTTATTTTAAAATTTTGGATTTAAAATTTTTGGCTAAAGTTCTTATGTAGATGTGTGTCTACGTGTTTGGTTATTTCTTTGGGGTAGGCTACAAGGAAGAAGGAATGCATCAAAGACAAAAACGTTCTCCCCCCTCTGGTATGTGAGGCTAGGTTTGGTTTGGGGGCTTAGTACCTTTAAGGGGTTGCTTTTCGCCAGACATACATCTACCTGCTTTACACAGTGACCCTGTGAGATCGATACTAAGATTATGCCCATTTTACAGATATGCAAACTGAGACATAGGGAAGCCAGTGTCACGGGAGAGCCCAGGTGACTTCAGCCACTCTGAGTCTGGAGAAGTTGGTCCCCCTCATGGCGCGTTTGCTCTCCAAGGACATTGCGGATATGTGGAGACATTTTTGATGGTCTCAAAATCTCCACCCTCAACGGAAGGGGTACTCTTGTTGCTATGTAGTGGGCAGAGGCAAGGGATGCCGCCAAGCACCCTACAAAGCACAGAACGGCCCCCATAACCAAGGGTCACCCGGTCCAACATGTCAAGGGTGCTAGGGGTGAGAGATCATGATCTGGAAGCCCAATTTTTTTTACCAGCGTCCCCCGATACCTCCCTCATTTTTTCACATTAGTCTTATAAGATGAAGGGCGAAGGAGACAGCAGGAAGCTTGTCTGAGCAGGTCCCATTTCCTCCCCTCTGACCTGCTCTCAGTGGTTGTGAGATGAGCGTTTTAATTGGGAGAGGATTTGAGACCTTAATTTCATTTGAAAGCTTATAGGATATTGATGATGAGCTTTTCTGACCTGCCTTCCCCCACAAAACCAACTTCTTCAGACACACAATCTAAGTAAGAAAAGTCTGCCTGCTTTGAAAACACAGCTGCAAGATAATCTCCCTAATGCTTTTTTTTTTTTTTTTTTTGAGACAGGGTCTCACACTGTTGCCCAGGCTGGAGTGCAGTGGTGTGATCACTACTCACTGCAACCTTGACTTCCCGGACTCAAGCGATCCTTCCCCCGCAGCCCCCCAAGTAGCTGGGACTACCGGTATGCACTGCCACACCCAGCTAATATTTTATTTTTTATAGAGACAGAGTCTCACTGTGTTGCCCAGGCTGGTCTCAAACTCTTGGGCTCAAGCCATCCACTTGCCTTGGCCTCCCAAAGTGCTGGGATTACAGGCGTGAGCCACTGCGCCTGGCTTCGTCTCCCTAATATGTATCACAAACTCCCTCACTCTCTTCCCTAAACGACTTCCCATAAACCTACAATCTAGAAAACATTGTAGGTTGGCTTTGCAGTTTCTAGACAACTCACACAGCACCTTTTTTTCTTGTGAGACGACACCCCTAAGCCACTCTGATGCTGAATTTCTAGGGAAACCCCTGTGGCTGATGTAGTCACCCGCTATCTAAGGGCCAGGCGACCTCCGCCTGAGCCCTCCGATCCCTGGCAGTGGAAGGGCAAATGCAGCTTGATTAGGCGCATCACATGCTTTATCAGGTTTTGATTTAACTCCCAAATGGCTGTAAGGGAAAGAAACTGACCAGGTTTAACACAGGAGAAGCTGACTCTCAGACCCTTCCCAAGTTCTGGCTGGAATTTAAACCCCCAGCTGCCCTGACAGCAATTCTTTTTCCTGAGCCTGGAGCCAACCCCTTGGAGACTTTGCACTTCGGGGACCCCAGCAGCAGCCCCCTCCTCCCCCGACGTCTGCCTGCCAACTCACCTTGGTGGCCTTGGGTCTCGAGGGAGGGGAAGATCCTGAAGCTCTGTCCTTGCCTCTCCAAGGTCCCCTGGTCCG